TTTTTTTGGGGATTTTTTTAGGGATAATTTTTTTTTTTTTTTTTTTTATAAATCTTAAACCCTAAAATAAAAAAAATAAATTTTATCCCTAAACAGTAAAATAAAAAAAATTAAGAATTAAAATAAAAAGTAATCATTTTATATAGTTGATTATTATTTGTTATTATAAATTATTATATATATTTAATATTGATTTCAATTTTATGAAATAAAATTTATATATATATATATATGTTGAGTGTGACTGTGTGTGTGAGTGTTTGTTTGTGTTTGGTGTCAAAGTCAAAGTGAGAAGGTTTGTGAGTGCATGTGAGGGCTGTGTTGAAAGCGTGGTTTATAACCACGCTTTCTTCACACAGTGATAGCATGGTTTAGAATCACGTTTTCTTCAGAAAATAATCTTTCTTTAAAAGCATAGTTCAGAACAGCGATTTCAGAAGAAAAAAAATTAATTAAAGGTGCCTTTTGTAACCGCGATTTTTTTAATTAAAAGCGCGTATTGTAACCATAATTTTAAGACTTTCCAATTTTCACACGAGACAGGCGCACACAGTTGAAAGCGTGATTGTGAACCACGATTTAGCCTATTTTGAAAATTGTTTCAAACCTAGGCTTAGTTTGAGAATTGAATTAATATTTTGACTTATTTAGAAAAATGTCTCCATTTTCTAACGGAAAAATAGTAAGTAATACTTTTAAGGGGCAGAGTCTAATTAACCAAAAATAAGTTGGTGAACTACTGATGAATGCTTGTTGACGATCCGAGGCAGTCAATGCGATACCGAAGTGCTACTCTCTCTCTTCTCCGTTGTAGTCATAGTCTATACTCTCTTTGGCTGTGGCATTCGCAAGAACACAGGCATGGGGTTCATGAACCTCATTTGCCCTAATTCTCCCTATGTACGCTTCTTCTTCTTCTTCTTCTTCTTCTTCTTCTTCTTCTTCATTTTTTTTTTCCCTTTCAAATCTGAACATTCGAACACATCGTTCTGTGATTTTCTCTCTTCAATCATTCTCGCATGACCCAATTTTACGTTCCGTTTGGTTGATCAGAAAACACCATTAAAACGAACAGATACGAGCCTTTAAATCTTGGGTTTGCACTTAGTTGCACCTCAATTTTGTTTCTTCCCCTTTGCTTGATTAAATTTTCTCAGCAACCAAACAGAGTGTAAAGGTTATATTGGTTTCTCTAGAAAATGTAAGAAGAAAGGAGGAATTTAAATATGAGGACCTCGGCTTTTGTTATTTTAGACTCCATAAAGCCTTCTGGTGTCCACCCTGACTGAGTCTTTGAATTTTAACTGTGATAACGAATATAACATTACCCAATTATTTTCTCTATTTTCTCAGAAGCCAAGCAGAAAAAGGCTATACCGGTTTCTTCAGACTGCATGGAAAGAAAAAAAAACCTAACAATTTCCAATTTGAAATTCCCCATAATTTGAGACCTGAGAAAGTAATCAACTTCACTGAACTACTGAAGTGGGTCTAATACAAGTTTTAGTGCTATATGGCGTACTACCTTTTTGTGTGTTTCATTCATTAATGAGCTCACAAACACATAACAATGTGCTGGTTTTGAATTGTTGAGTACACATGGTTTTTCTGTGATATTATTGGAAATATAGTCATTTTTTCTCTCTGGTTTTCAGGTTTGGGATGGAAATGGATTCTCAGAGTGTTTCAGCAACATATATCCTTTTTTTTTTATTTTTGTTTTTTTTTTAATGATTGATTTTGCATTGCTCTTGAACACTAAATTATATGTAGTTATGATATGTTTTCCTTTAACAGTTTCTACGGTGCTAGGTTTTGGAATCAATATAATGACTTTGGTTATGATCACTGTACTTGGAATTACTAAAAGGACTGCCGGAGGAACTGGGAGGGTAGGTCATTATGAACACCTTTGTTTGCTTTCTGGGAAAGTTTAGCACTGTTCGAATATGATACAACAATCACTTGAGTTTGGTAATTCTATTGTCTTCTTCTTCTATCTTGTCTCCTGCGAAGCTTGCTGATGAAAATTAGTAATTTCAGCACACTGCACATCTCACATTTCTGTTCTCAATCTCAACAACTGTGTGCTGATTGAGGATGTACCCTTTGGTTTATATTTAGAAGTACTTACTTTGCCTTGAGTAAGCATTACTTTGACTTTTGCTGTGAAAAGCAATGTGTATTCCCAAAATCAAATTTGATATTTACTAGATTTTGGGGGATATCTTTTTAGCTAAATGATTCCAGTGCTGTTATTATAAAGTTTTGAGTCTTTTCTGGTGTTTTTTAGTCTCTGGAAAATCTAGTGTGAGGATGGCTGGTTTTCATCAAGATTTCTCTTTCACTTTCCCACTGGCCATGACAGTGATGCTAGTTAATTTTTGAAATTTGTTTCACTTGATTCTTTTATGATTAATGAAATATAAAAAGTAAGGTGTATGAGAGAACGACAGAAAGAACAAAGAAGAGAGGAGGAGAGACATTGTGGTAGAAAAGAACAAGAGAAAGCTACAAGCTCTTGTTTCCGTTATCATATATCGGGTGGCACATGATAATTGATAGAATTTGAATACCCAAGTAAAATAAGACACTTTGTATTCATAAGTTATAAATGTTGTAATTGTAAGTTACAATGCAAGAACCATATTCTTATCATTTTCTTCTTTTGCTTTTGTTTTTATTTTCCCCTTCGTTGCTAATAACCTTTGTCTGTTTCCACTTTGATTCTGGTTTTTATTGGGACCAAAATATTAGTATGTTATTGGTCTATTGACTTTCTTTAATTTTGAGGGTGTTTCTTAGTGTTTGCATGTTTTTTTTTTTCGTCAACATTTGCTACTATTTAATCTCTGAACCATGCAACAAATATTCCATGTTATACCGTGTAGTTGATTAGTTTATTTCATTTAAAAATTACCAAGGAAGGGTTAGCCTATGCTTTTTTGAATGAAGAAAGGTGTTCTATAAATTAATGGTTGACTAATATTATGCAGATATACTTTTTAGAGAAGGTTTTTCTGCGTGCTATACCTGCTCTCGGAGCTTTTGTGGCATTTTTTGACATGGCTTTGGGTTTGAAGGAAGCACTTAATGGTTACAATAGTCCATATCATGACTGGCTTTTTAGAGGTTCTCAATGCTTGATATGGGTAAGCTTTTATAAAATAGCAATAGTACCATGAAACTTGAACTTGAGAGCTTCGTTTTTCTATTCTGTGATGTTGCTTCTGGTTTCCATTGTATCACATACTGTAGGTTACCATTCTACTCATCTCAAACTGTAACAACTGGCTTGCTACTTTATGCAACCGGATCTTGTGCTTTTGGTGGGTCATGAAACCATTATTGGGAATCCCTTTTCTGCAAACAGCTTTTTCTTCACAAGAGGTATATTTTTTTGCTACTTGAAGCCACTTTTTCCCAATCTTTGTAGTAACCATCTGATTTGTTGTATCAAAGAAGCTTCTATTGCATAACAAGAATGAGATGCCTTGCCATGCTAAATTTCCCCTCTGTCGTTCATTTAGGGTGTTGTTTTTGAGTTTCTTATTGCTTCGATTGTTAAGTAAGTATGATAGGATTTGTTTGTATATGTTAAGATCCCTTTTATCCAAGTTGAGTATATAAATACTTGAAAGTTATATATTTTCTCTAAGTTAGTGTTTGGTTCATTGGAATGATGGTGGAATAGAATGATCATCATGTCTATTCTCATGTTTGGTTCACTAAAAACAGGATGAAAATACATTGCAAATAGAATCATCATTCACCATTGTATTTTTAAGTGAATGGTAATTTTGTAGGAAGGCTAAGGAATGAGCATTCCATTCAATTCCACTTTCATTCCAGTGAACCAAACATAGCATAACAAGTTAAGATTTTATAGTAATTGGTTAATCTCACTGCCTACCATATAATTGTGCTACATCCATGTGTTTGATTTACTTGTGCAAGGGAGTCTGTCCACACACGAAGGGTTCCTGTTCAGTGTATAAATACTTAAGTTGCACTTGCACCCTTTCTAAACCTTAATCACTTTGAGCAGTTGTTTGTTCCAACAATCTACTGTGGGCACTTTGGATAACACTTCAGGTTGTTTGGAAATTTGGTGTCCCAACAGAGGTTGCATTTCTTTGTTTGTATGGCTTCTTTAGAGTCCATTCTTACTATTGATAATTTGATGAAGAGAGAGGATCTGGACTTCTAGAGAGGTGTTACATGTGCCGTATAGTAGAGGAGACAGTATATAATTTGTTAATTCATTGTGACGATGCCTCGGAGTTATGGTGTCTTCTATTTTCTACTTTGATATTCATTGGTTGATGCTGGTTTCCATTCTTAAGTTATTCGAGTTTTGGGATGTGGACGTAGGATGGAGAGAGAAAAAATAATGTATGGTAGCGCTTTGTGTGTAATGTGGTGCTTGTGGAGAGAAATGAATATGCAAACTTTGAAGAGACAGTTTGGAGGTGTGAAAAGCTGTGTATATTGCATACCTTTCGCTTTTGGTGTAAAAGATTGTTTTGTGAATCCTCTTTTGCTCGTGTAGATTTTATAGAAGAGTTCATGTTGAGCTTTTTTGATCTCTTATAGTCTTTATGTTCAAAGGTTATGACCTTTTGGCTATTTCTTTACATATGTAATACACGTCACTTGTTAAAAGAAATCATGTGCACCTGTTGATTTTGAAGGCACTCAGTAGTGATTCATTTGCAATGGACCTATATCTCAAATTTTCTACATGATGTCTGCAGTAAACAATTAAGCCAAAGAGGAAATAAATAAATTTGTATGGTATAAGTTTGCATTGTTGGTTTTTATTATTATATGATAGCTTGGATTTTGGATCGTTCTAAAATGTTTAAATCAAGTGTAAAGCAAACCAATCTCAATAAATACAACAATATTAATGTTTACAATCAAATCTATAGTATTCATTGCATAAAACCCATTGGAAAGAAGGCCTTCTAGGTCTTGATTGAAATTAATATTCTGAAAACACTTTTTTGACTCTTCTTAGTTACTAAAATTTGATTATTTCTTTATTGGTTAATTCTCTTGATTTAGCTACCTCAGATATCAAGTATATGTGCTTCAAACTGTGTATTGGATATATTCATTTGAATTGGAAGTTTTATATGGCAGGCTTTAAGATGTCTTAAAGAGAGTTGTGTTCTTTCAGTGGATATCCTGTTTGGCATCTGCATTAACATTATCAGAATAAAGCGGACATCTCCCACAAGCAGGTAGTGTCATTTTGTTATCCGTTCTTATAATCTCTTGTTCTTGAGAAAAAAAACTTGTACTAAAAATATGTAACGTGCAATTCTGGTTGCACCTATTAAGTGTTTAATTCTTTGGTTACTTTTTGAGACATACAAGTTGTATTATTAGGACAATATTAACTATAATACCGAGCATCTAATGTGAAGATTACACACATGGAATTAGGCAAGAAACCGTAATCATGGGATGGAAGCATTGTACATTATAATTTAGTGCTGTACTCTGAATAGAAAACACACAGCTGATTAAAGATAGAAGAAAGAACAATTATATAGATAAAATGAATGAGTGATACAACCAAGAGGAACCTAGGGATCTAAATTCTAATAAATCAGTTAAAGCCACGTCTTCATGATTTTATTTTCTGTATATGCAAAGTAGAAAGTGTGACCTATTGAGTAATGTTAGTATTAACATTAGAATATTGATGTGTTTAGTCACCTTTCAATATTTAGTAGTACCAATGTAAACAGTGGACTCTGTTTTTAGTCAGAGGTGTGAATGGATATTTTCTTGACATGGAGTTTTTTTTCTTCCCTTTTGTACTTAAATTTTTTCATAATCATTGCCATTAATCTCATTATAACTGGGTAAATTGAGCAACATGCTTCTTATTTTACTCTGGTTAGCTGATAGATTTTCATGATTCTCTCATATTTCACTACATCAAAAGGTAATATTTAAACTGAATTTGAATTGAAAATTTGCCTTTGAATGTTATATACCAAGGTACTTGCTTCTAATAATCTAGCACTAAATGTTTCTGAGCTAATTTTTTTTTAGTTTTATTAGACCGCCCCTTAGAATACTAGAACCTTGTGGATCAAGTTGTTGCTTTTTTTGGCAATCTATTCTTATTTTTACAATTGAACACTACGGAAAAAAAAAACACTGGTTGGTTTCCTTTATGAACCTTTTTCTCTCTTGCCCTTTTGTTTTTGGATAAGTACATTTTCTCTCTTGTGTGGTTTTTGTTTAGGTTGTTGGTAAATTTTCAATTAGTATGTGATTGTTGAAACTTGAAAGTTACCATAGCATTTTAGCATGTGTAAATTTATTTAATCATCATTCCTTGTGTAGTTTTCATATTGACTAATGTAATTATGATTTATAAGATTTGATGCATTTACTTGCAGAAAATATAGTTCTGTGGATGAGCCACTTCTCTCCTGTGGCATGGACATTGAAGAAGGTCGTTTTAAGGATTCCGTATGTACTTTTGCTTTCTTCTTCCTTTATTTTTTATTATTATTTTTTTTAAAAAAAAATAAATTCTTTTAGAAGTTTTCTCAAAGCTGTCTTTGCATTTGTATTTTTTTTTGGGGACACCTTTCCTTAAATTCATAGGTTAAGTTGAAGTAAAAGTTTAGCTATTCACCCAAAAAAAGTAAAAGTTTAGCTACCCATATATTGTTAAGCCATATGAGAAACCTTTTATCAAGTTTGAAAATTTATTTCCCTAGTAGCAAATTTCTCTAGGGACCTGTTTTCTGATGCACATTGCAGATGCAAATTCTAAGACTTAAAAACTAGACCCAAAATGTAGAATAAAATTCATAAAGAAAGGGCTACATTCTATATACCTTTCTATTTTTCCACTTTTCTGTAGTACAGATTTTGTAATTTCTCTTCTTCATTGTATTACGATCTTATCTTATGGGCTTTGATAGCCTGCTCTTGAACAGATCTTCAGTCATTAATGTTAAGTGTTGAAACCTTGACCTGAGTTTGAGGGATTTGAGGATGGTTAAAACAAAACCTTTAAAGTCCTCTTTCGGATTTGCAAATCTTCTGTTCTAGTAATTATCCTCTTTGGAGGAAGCTAAGAATGGAGAGGCACTATAATGTGTTATGCTTGATGTCTTCTAGAAGTAAGAGCATTTGGAGTGTTTGAGTGCTTTTAGGTTGTCTAAGGACAGCTTATGCAGAATTATGCATAGACTTGTGTATGGTAAGGCCTCTATTTCTACACCAATTTGGATGCTTGGGTTTTAGAGACCGATATTTGAATCTGATGAGTGATTAGAATTTTCTAGTATGTAGGAAAGCAATTAATACAGGTATTTCTTTGTAAGGAATCTTAATTTTTATATTTGTCAGATAAAGTAATTCAAACTTAAGTATGATTCTATTTGTCAGATACTACATGTGTCCTTAACTCCTTCTACCAGGACCTGCATCCATAGTGGTATGTTATTTTCACATCATTGGATCTGCATCCTTAGAGAAGATCTGGTTCCTTCCACAATGTTAGATCTTGCATTTTGAAATGGGTCCAGGAGCTTTCACCTTGAACTTGCAGGGTGAAACCTCTTGGACCCATTTCAAATTAGAGAAGATTAAAGTTGAGTTACAATACAAAAAAGACAATTATACCCTTGTCTTTATCTTTTTCCCCCAACTGCTGCTACCATCTTGTCTTCCCTGCCCCGCCACCCCCTCTTTCCTGCCTACCATACTTTCCTCCTTTCTCGCCACCTTGCCACACCCTTCCTCCTCCTCCACTACCCCTTCCACCCTCCCTAACCACCCCTACACCCTGCCCTGTCTCTGTTTGATTGGAGGGGTTAGATGAAGGGGTGGAACTGTTGTTTTGAAGTTGAAAATTTGCAATTCTGAGAGCCTTTTGAATTCCATTGTTTTTGTAAATTGGCCAAGCTCTTGCAATGGCTTGAAGCTTTGCATTAAATGAGGAATGGAGAGGCATGTTGTAGGTGAATTGGTGGCCTGCTTGGTGTTCGAGGTTGGGGAAATTGAGCCTCGCAACCTGTAAAAATTGATGTATTATTGATTGATGATATTATCTATTACAAATGGTGAGGGGTTCCTTATATAGGAGATGTAGTGTAGTAGGTGGTAGTGGTAGGTGTGTAGTAGGTGGTAGTAGGTGGTGGTAGGTGTAGTAGGTGGAGTAGGTGATGGTAGGTTTTAACAGCTTAGAGCGAGCAACTTCAATTCCCAGAAAATACTTCAAGCTGCCCAAGTCTTTGATTTCAAACTCTTTGGCTAAATATTTCTTCAACAGAGGTATTTCCCCACTATCATTGCCTGTAAGAACTATGTCATCTACATAAACAATAAGTGCTGTAGTCTTACCGCATGAGGAATGTTTCACAAACAATGTGTGATCTGCCTGACTTTGTTTGAAGCCATATTTAAACATAGCCTGAGTGAATCTTTCAAACCAAGCCCTTGGAGGCTGTTTGAGACCATATAATGACTTCCGAAGTTTGCATACTTTGCCTTCTGTTTGATGATCCTCAAAACCCGGAGGAATGTCCATATATACTTCTTCTTCGAGGTCACCATGGAGAAAAGCATTCTTGACATCAAACTGATAAAGCGGCCAATCTAGATTAGCTGCTAGAGAGAGAAGTACTCTGACTGAATTCATTTTAGCCACGGGTGCAAAGGTCTCCTGATAATCAATGCCATATGTCTGAGTAAACCCTTTTGCCACAAGTCTTGCCTTGTAACGCTCAATAGACCCATCTGCCTTGTGTTTCACAGTATATACCCATTTACATCCCACAGGTCGTTTGCCCGTAGGTAACTCAGTCAATTCCCAAGTGCCATTCTTCCTAAGTGCTTTCATTTCCTCAATCATAGCGAGTTTTCACTCAGAGGTAGCAAGAGCATCCTGAAAATGGTTAGGAATGCTAACAGAGGAAATATTGGACACAAACGCTCTATATGAGGATGACAAATGAGAGTATGATACAAACTGTGAGATAGGATGTTGAGTACAGATCTCACACCCTTCCTCTTGGCAATAGGAACATCAAGATCCATGGACTCAAGAGATTCAAAGTTACCTAGACTCTCATCAGAAGCAGGAGATGGCAGTGGAGTAGCAGAAACGGTCCCGTGTGTCCAGTTAACTTGTTTTTTGTCTATGTCCCGGACATAAACATGCCCGTCCTTATTTTTGGTGACAGTGGGTTCTATAGTTCCAGTAGAAGAGGGAGGTGCAAGAACAACTGGTTCCACCATAGGAAGCACAGTAGTAGAGGGTGGTGCAAGAACAACTGGTTTCACCATAGGAGGCACAGTAGAGGGTGGTGCAAGAACAACTGGTTCCACCATAGGAGGCACATGACTCACTTCACACCAAGGCTCCCCCGGAAATGAGGACGGTGACACCGGAGAGGATAAGAAATAGGACTGGGACTCAAACAAAGTTACATCCATGGACACAAACCACTTACGAGAAGAAGGGTGGTAACATTTATATCCCTTTTGAGTAGGAGAGTAACTAAGGAAAAACACTTGAGGGAGCGAGGGTCCAACTTACTACGAAAGGGAGAGTGATTATGGACAAAACAGACACAACCAAATATTTTGGGAGGAATAGAAAACAAGGACGGAGAACCGAGGAGGACGTGAAGCGGAGCCTGTTTGTCCAAGACCTGGGTAGGGAGACGATTAATAAGATGGGCAGCGGTGAGAACAGCGTCGCCCCAATAGGGTCGAGGCACATTCATAAAAAAACACACATGCACCGAGCCATGTCAAAAAGATGACGATTCTTGCGTTCCGCTACCGCATTTTGTTGATGGGTATTGGTGCAAGAGCTCTGATGGATAATGCCATGGGCAGAAAAATATTGCCCTAACCCAGAATCTATTTATTCCCCGCCATTATCAGAACGAAATATTTTGATAGTGGCCCCAAACTGAGTACAAATCATCTTATGAAAAGTGCGAAACACAGAGAAAACCTCACTCTTATCTTTCATGAGATACACACTAAGGTTTCAAGAATAATGAGTTAGAGTTAAGATTATATATAATAAGAGTTTACAAACTTAGGTTATAAAGATGATAAAG